GGTTCAGTTCCATCACATAATGTAACGCAGTAACGCACCCATTTAAATCACAGTAACTATAACGGTGTTACTTAATGGGAATAGGTAACTAGTAACGCTATTAGTTACCGCAAAAGGTAGTTGCGTTACAGTAACGCGTTAGTCCCAACACTGCAGATAATACATCCACACGTCTGTTAGAATAGACTTTAGTTTTCCTGTTTCCTCTTTTTTTTGGAATAGTCTCTTTTATGGATTAGCGTGATTTCTTTTTTTAATTTCATTTGGAAAAACTTTCAAGCATATCTTGTGACAATTTGTGTCTGTTCACACTCACTTGTACTATAGTATTAGGACCACATGTGAGTTCAGAGTCACAATCCACAAAAAACAAAACACTTCTGGTCAAAAACGTTTCAAATCTTGCCCTAATCCTCTTCCGTACACTTGCGTCTTTCCAATGACTTTACATGAAGTCGGAGCAATTTTTTCAATTTTGACTTTTCTTTCTGAACTTACCATTAAGAACACAAGTGGGTGACATCTGTGAGAGAATATGAGTCCCTATATCTCAAAAACAAAGACTGTTTTGTAATTTCTGTCCTAAACACACACTCAAGTTAGCCATTGACATCCTAAATGTAATTGTCTATCTAATGAAACTAGAAACCGTCTTGAAATAGTGTCTCACGAGCTGCTACGTCAAATTTGGGCATGGGCGTACAACCAATGGAGCTTTCCTTGCTTCCTATCCTCAGGCCTCTGGTTCCCTTGATAATTTTGAACGCAGTCTTCATTTTGATCTCGACTTCACATTTGAAAAAGATTCCAAATCGAGCCTAAGTTGTTAATTGCATGGGGACATTTTTCGGATTTCCCATTTGTCAGTTTCACAGTAACATCGATGACATAATTCTAGACGAGTATATATATAGTTTGAGAATAATACATCCATCACTGTGAGGGAAAGTTGCCAGTCCTCCCAGTTAAACTGTCAGCTCTTCATGAGTATCTCCAGAGGGGGAGAGGCCTCCGGAGAGAAGCTGCTAATCCACCCTGACACTGACTCCAACTTCACTCACTGTACGGAGGAAATGGATTTAAAGGAAGCTTATAGAGGATTCACTTTCGGAGTCATTCTTCTGCTCCCAGGCTATAAAGCAATTAAAGATCACATACTGTATATATCGGAGTATCTAGGTCTTAAATTGACGAGACCCTGTCACGTAAAAACAGTTTAAAGAGTGAATACATCTGACGCTAGATCACTGAAGCGCTCACTGAAGAGAGGGAGGAAAGATTTCTGTTGACTGCAGGCTCGTTGTGACGTGGAGAAAAAACTAAAAATGCCTCCAAACCAAGTCCTTTGAGCATCTTCTGAAACACTGTCACTTGTATCACTGTAGGTTGGTGCAACAGCGCCATCTGCTGTTGATAAAACCTGGTGAAGGCTACACTGACACCTCCACAGTGTGAACAGTGTGATCAAAGATGAGATAAATGGTTTAGGAAACATGTCCGCTTGTTGTTAGTATCAGAAGAGCTATAAGGAGGTTGGATGTCAGCCTTCATGGCCATTAACACACATTTAGGGACACAATATTAGAAATAAATGCATTTCATCATTATCTTGTTGGTGGAAATCCCAAGACAATTGCCCCAGAAGTGCCTTAAGCCTGCATTGTATCTACCGTCCAGCAGGGGGCGACTCCACCGTTTGCAAAAAGAAGTCTGATTGTATAGAAGTCTATGAGAAAATGAACCAACTTTGTTCTTGTTTAATTACCTCGGTAAGCAGATTGCTAATGAGTTTGGAGTCTTAATCTCTACTTTCAAGAGTTCAATACAGCATGATGTTGTTTCTGTAAATTATAGTCCAATTCAGATTAAAGTAGACGATAAAACAGCTTGTGTTTTAGGGCGTGGCTGCTTTGTTTTAGAAACATGCAGTCAAAGTAAAACATGTATCAATCAATCACATCTTATTTATATAGCAATACCACAGGTTACACATTTGTCCCCCAAAGAAACCCCACCATTTAAAAGGTAATGTCAGGATGTCTGTAAATCCGCCTCTCGATAATTGTTTTGAAAAACATTTATGTCATAATATACATAAATGACCCCAAAAAACTCCACAAAGTTTCCATTTATTTACTGAAAGTGTACTCTTTGCCTACTCCCTGTTTCCAAAGTGCTGATTCTCTGTCTGTTACTTTAGATGAAAATAAGGAGCCCCTCCCCACGCCCCTCTGAGAGACATTTGGTTACAAAGAACTCAATGGTGCTCTAGGAGGAGATTCAGGTGATAAGGGGGGGGGGGGTTACCTTGGTTGCTGATTGGCTAATGGTTACACAAGACAACACATCGTTATGACATCATAAAGTGGCCAAAATCTGATCAGCTCATTTTCAGACAGGTTTTTATAGAAATGGATCAAAAAGAGAGAGAATCTTTGTTCCTGAAACTTTCAGAGTCTCTTTCCACAGAGAGGACACATGTTGATGTAGAAGAGACATGAAGAAGAGGGGACACATGTTGATGTAGAAGAGACATGGAGAAGAGGGGACACATGTTGATGTAGAAGAGACATGAAGAAGAGGGGACACATGTTGATGTAGAAGAGACATGAAGAAGAGGGGA